TGGTTTTTAATGCTTTGCATCTTTCTCCTTCCTCATCACAGCGTGTGATTAGTTCATTATTCTATCTTTTTATTGTCTTTACATTTGCTTTCCTTTTAACATTAATTATATATTTAGTATTAATTTAGTTGACTTCATTTATTATTTTAAAATTTTGTGGCCCACTTTGCAAATAATGAAATGGCAAAAATTTGATGTTAAAGAGTTAATTAATATTCTTTGAGGTCAAATAAAGGTGCGGGCTTTTTTACGCCTTAAAAATCCGCTCTTTAGGGAAGGCAAAAGAGCCAATCCACCTATTCGACGGAAATTGTCGATGTCACATACACAATGTGGCTACTTCTTACCTGCCTCTCATTGCAGCAAAACAGGTGCAAATTCTTCTGGTTGTACTCGCCTTGAGGGGTCATAGTGATAGAGAGGCTTATCGTTGAAAATTTTGGACAATTTATTCAGGATATTGGATAGTTAAAATTCGACTTTAATTTAATATTTACGATCATTTCGAGTGACATTATTTTAAAAAAGTATGCAATGTGACTAGGGGATGTGTTGACCCGATTTTATCTTTTCTGGGCATTACGACATATTATTATCACAAAAACATATTCTATGAACTTCATGCGGAAACTCGCATATTGATAGGAGGGTACATTATTATAAAAATTCTCTCGGAATTTCAATAATACATATATCTGAAAGATTTACCCGTTTATAGCTTATTTCAGACTTGAGATGGCATATCATAAAAGCACTATTTGAACAAAGTTGTATCCTAATATTATATATTCTTTGGTGCTTGATTTGTATACGGTAAAGTGGAATAATTACCATATTACCGAAAATATGTGAACATATTTGGTTTAAAGGTGTGTGAGACATATACAATAAACGTACTAGGGGGCGGGTTAGGTGAACAAAACTATTTTACATTGTAGCAACACGTTGCGAGAATATACAAATATAAAAAGACGGTAAAAGTGGCGATGATTGTGAGATTATGGCACATATGACGGTGTGTACTCGTAATGCGTATCAACTGAAATTCTTATCCGTCGAACTAATGAATGTATATTGAAATACATATGTTTGGCGTAAGTACGTGTACTAAATGTTAGCCAACACCAACTCAGCATCCCGAAAAAATATTGAGTTGTAATATTGGTTCTTCAACTTTTACTTTGAATATTTTGACCATCTATGGTTGGTAATAGGATTGCGAGCTGGTTATGAATTTTAGTTTTAAGTATTAATCCGGCCTTCTTCCCTTTCAAGAAGTTATCTTTATATCGATTGCGACTTTTTCAGCTTTATTACTCTCGGGATGATTATACGTAATCACATATTAGTCTCTTGTGCAACCACTGTTCCCACTTACAAAGGAAATTGCTAGTTCATCGTTGTTTTTTACGATATTTAAATATAATATTGAATTCAAGTTATGTTACATATTAAATCATTATGTTGCACCCTTTTTCTTGGTGGGGCAGTCTGCGCTGAAGAAATCCATAGTACCCTAGGTGGCAATATTTGACACAGTTAACTGCCAGTTCGTGAAGTAATTCAAGGCAATCGTTTCAGTAGTCCAGTAGCAGCGGGCGGGTTGAGTCGGGGATAGCAAGTGTCCTATAGAGGACTGTGATCTATAAAAATGTAGATAAGTGCTCATATCGCCTGTTGCAGAGCAATTAAAAAATTGTTGTTCGACTTGATAATAACAAAAGCTTTTCCAACAATGATGCAAAAATCAGTAACTAGGCAAAACAAAAGAACCAACATTGCTGGTATTAGCTTTTGTTGGTAAGCTTTAAATGCTTTCCATACTCAGGTATAGCACTTCTCACTTCTCCATTGTCAATAGTATGGCGGCGTTATGTAATTACCGAAGGTGTTGCTGGCAAACGGTGATTTGGTGGGTGCGTTTTTGCTGCAACATCTCTAATGTCCGGCTCGCTGAAGTAGTACGTGGGCATGCACACATTACTGTTCCCTCATACAAATACATATACAAGATATAACATTTTGATTATTTGTGTTGCTGCTGCTCGACTGCGGTGACAATGGCAAAGTGTGGCGATGTCATCGCATATGCTGCATGAAATGTGTGCTTACCACAGCCCTCAACCCCCACCGGGCGCACCAAACGAGGACACAATAAAAAGGAACTAAAATATACCACAGCAATTATCATAAAGTTGTTGCAAATGCAAAAGCCAACGCAACAAACAATAGCTGCCGTTGCAACAGTGCTTATAGATCGGAAGCTCAGTGAGTGTGTGCGAGTGCATACCACATGTTGATCCAAACACCCTTACGAACATATCTTCGCACATACATATATACATATGTACATTTATGTACATGACTGATTTGCATGCTAATACACCCACATGTGGACACTCTTCTGAACTGCTGCATTTATAGGTGACTGCAAATTGCAATGAAATCGTCATTAGAGCTTTTTGTTATTTTCCTGCTTCTGCTTCTGTATTGTTGGCTATTATCGTACTTTTGTTTTGAGCAAAAAGAGCTCTGCAATTTAAACTGAAATAACTGCTTGTTTGTCGGTTTTTATGCGACATTCTTGTATTGCTGGAAACGCTTACGGGGTTATTAGTGAAAAAGTACAAAATAGAAGACAGTCTTTTAATGTATGTATTACTACATTCAACTAAAGGTTAGACAAAAATTGTATTTCAGTATTTTGAAAGCAATAAATAGAATTTGAAAAGCCTTATATTGGGCTTCTAGTAATTTTAGGACGAAAATATTGAGTGAATCTAGAAGCCACTGGCTTTTTGTAAGATTTTATAGATTGTATGATCATCTTTAGATATTTGCATTCCTATTCATTATCAGTTATATGCGGTGTTTGATCTCTGCGAACTTTCGATACTGTAGCCAAGAATTCAGTCATTTGTCTGTATACTTGCGAATTACACGACTAAAAGACCCTAATGGCACATTGCCGGCAAACCGTTAATAGCGAAGGGACAGCGTGCAACTAACTGCAATTCCAACAGAAACTGCCGCTGTTGTTTCCGCCAAACTGCTCCCCACTTTCGGGCCCATTATCTGATCATCAAGGGTAAAAAATAGCCGCGCAGCCACATAGACATGTTCCATCGTTTGGCTGCGAACGCAAATTGCCAAAAATGCAAGTCTTGCGTAGTGGTAACAAAGCATTTGCGATGACAGCGACCTGGAGACAACCAAACAATGGAAAAGTGTTATAACAAACTAGGATTAAACGAGGGTTTCGAAACAATGACAACGCACGCATGAAGGCGGCCAGCACACTGCCGTCATTGACACCAGCCAGTCAACAAGTGTACAAATGGGGGATAGAAGGAAACTAACAAAATGAAAAAAATCAGTTGGAGCACAAGTATTTTGCAGCAACGATTACGGAGTTCTCACACCGACTTTCTATTGCCACGAAAGCTTCGCCCCCTTAAAGTCTATACACCTTAACATCTATAGGCATTGGAGAGTAAATTTGAAAGTTGTACTTGTATACTGTACGGCTGTAATGTTTATCGCCTACAATTTGATAAGACACTTTGAAAATGAAATGGTTCTGTATAAGACCATATGGCCCGGCACAGTGAGGTGGCAGTGTTATTTTATGAGGATTGATCTCAACAAGTAGGTGTACGAGTATGTAAGTAGAGTGTATAAGACGAATCACTTGCTCGTCTAATTGGCAGTCATAGCGTTTAAGTTGTTCGATTTAGCTAGAGTAGGATAGAACTAAAAGATTTTATTTATTATACTATATAGTATAGCGCCACAGATACTCTTTGTACCGCAAATAATGCAGTAATCAATTCCGAACCATGACTAATTCTATCAAGTATTATAAACTAAATATTGTAATTACCAAAGCAAAATTACTATACTCGTACACCAGCTATGCTCAACGTCGACGTTAAAGTGTGATTAAAAGTCTCAATGGCCATTACAGAAAAAAGTTGTTGATGGAGCTCATAGACATGTTGCATGTCGTTAATTTTTTACCCTAGGCTTGGGAAAATGCAACACCAACCTCTATAAAACATTCCTTCCTTCACCATGTAAGGATTTGTGCTAGTTCTGCAGAATCTGAGCCCAAGGAGCAAGATGACGAAGGAAAGGAAGAAGAACTAGTTGACGTTGAGCCAATTCCGAACATTTAACAAGCTTTCAATGCCACTAAATTGTTAGAAACACTTTTTACAATACAAATTCCACAATATCACAAGATATAGAAGAATAAATACAGCAAAGAGCTCAGTTAAAATATTGGCCAAATAAAAATCGCCGAGCTAAGATAACTGAAGACTACTTTGTAAAATAACACATTAGACGGCACTTTGCATAATATTTTGTGTGTTTTTTGTGTTTTTGTATAACAAATATTTTATTATATAATAAAAATTTGTCCTGTTCTTAGATTTCTCTTTATTGGCCTTTATTTTAGTATGTAGAGGGTGAAAATTTTACTTATGCGATGACATTATGTTGTCATGGCAACTACTACTTCAGGTACTATGTCCAGTCATATTGGCCTTGGCACAAATCCCAACTGAATAAAACCACCTATGCATCATGTTATAAAAAATCAGAAAATGATTATTTTTAGAGCGTGAAGCTCTTCAAAGAAACATTTAACCGTCTTGATGAAAATAATACTCCTACAATACAAGCATACATTGCAGGGTCTATTAGGTATCTTGAGCAATTGACTTAAACAGGTTCGCACTATCAAATCGTATACTCAATAGCCAAATTTGCCTTACCTCTGCTCACTCATGCAGACATTCATACAGGTTTTCATACTTATGTATATCAATATGTGTTTATGTAAGAGCATCATCAAAGCTGTAGTCATCATCATTATCACTTGAACGAGCTCTGTGTGGTGTCAGGACGTAGGAGCTATGTACATTCTTCTACTTGAAATATCCTTGAACATGAAAATTTATGTAAAAATCGATTTATTCATTTTTGTGTTTTAGCACTGCTTAAACTCTAAGAGCAACACTTGACGAAGTATTGCTTCGGCACTGGCGACGACCAACAGTGACAACGATGGAGAACAACGGAATAATGTTCAGTGCTCACAGCGAAGAGCGTTTGTTAGCAGAATGAAATTGAAGCCAGTTTACTATAATTTTCGTAACTAACAGCAGAGGGTTGAATGTTGAGCTCTTACAGTGCCCTCCTTTCTTCATTGAAGAATATAACAGTTATGCAGTAAGGGCTCTCTCGAATGTCTCTTTAATTTTAGAGCTCATTTAACGATGAACTCCTGTTTTTAGGATGTACTGATAACATATGCATACTTATTTGGGTAAATACTTGAGTAAATATTGGAATTCATTACAAGTAGTTACTAAGGCGGATATTATTTTATGGCACAGCGAAAACATTTTCGTATGGAACTTATTTATTAATACAGCATATTACTTTGTTCTCTGTTAAAGTTGATAAAAAAATGTTAGAATAAATATTTGTGCTGCGCAGAGACTTCTTTATTTGTAGATATGTATCGTTATAGTTTGGATTATAGTCAGTTTAATATCAAAATATTTTTGGTAAATACGTACTTGAACCTCTATATGCTTAGGATATACTTTGCATGAAAAGGAAAATTTTAGTATTATTCTGGCTAAGTAAATCAAAATTTCTGTTAAATCGCTGGCTTAAAGAGATCTTCCTTGAGGACCCTGGTGACAAAATTATTGCCAAATATGATTGAAACGGAGCTGCAGCAGCCTTTGCACGCCAAATCAAAATCAACATAATAAACCCAAAATGACGCACAAACACGCGATGACAGTTACTCGATGTTCGGAGTAAACATGTAAATTATTTAAACACTTCCGCGATGGATATTTAATTACCGCTGTGTATACAAATGCTTTTACTTGTTCCAAATATTCCGAAATATCGTTATCCTAGGTGGAATGCTTAGTTGTCAGGCAGAGCCTATTATTTTACGACACCAGAGGATATTGACTGCCACAGTTAAAGTTCAATTTATCTAAATACAAAAGCATTACGCTTGTGAGAAGTCATTGATGATTTGGGTAAATATGGTAGATATATTTCCGTTCAGTTTAGTGCTACAAATATACTTCACTTCGTGATTACCTCTATATATACCATATGTTCATTTGTATAGAGTTTGAACACATTTTATGCAAAATTCGCATGACTTTGATATTGATTCGGAGAAAAAAAGTAACGAAATAATGAATATAACTATATGTACTTATACTCACAAGAACACAAATATGCAAACAACTTCAATAATTTTGTCTAATAAAGCAAAATCAACCAATTCAATGAACCGTTTCTATTGTTTAGGCAGAATCATACTTCGTCTTCAGTGGCTCTAATGTAGGAGGAGGTAGAGGGTTAGGTTTAGAATTACAAACTGCTCTGTTCATATCGAAAAAAATAATGGAAAAACTTATCATGGAAGTTTTTGAAAATCAATATTGGCAAATGCATCTGGTCGCCCACTCTATTCACCCGTTATAAACTACTTTACAATTAGTACGAAACAAACCCTTGCTTGTTGCAGTTGCAAGCCAGTATACTTTCTAACTAGACGCCTCACTACATGGTTTTCATAACATTTAAATGTGTAAGTATATGGGTGTGTGCTTTGAATTGGACGAGCAAATATGGAATATGCATAATATTATCTACTAATGAAATTAGCTGGTATAATTAGAAATTACGCAAAACCTTCAATGAATGTATGCACTCACATACTCCGTTGCATGCAAAACTGACGTGCACAGTGGGTAATTTTCGTACACAAATTTCTGGCGATATCGGTTCGATAATGGTTTTTGGATAGGGTTTTTAAGACGCATTAAATCATTAATTTGCATTGCTGCGGGCTGAAATATTGAGGTATAAGTTAAAAAAAAAGCAAAACTTTCTTTGTCGAAACTACATATGTATATGTTATATTCCAATTTCCGTTGTGTTTTCTGAGCTCTTGTGCAAAGCTTGATTATTTAATTCAGCTGGTTTCAGATTTCAGCATCTTTATTATGGACACAGCTCCATCAAAAGTTTCTTGATCTCAGTTATTTGATATACCACCGGCGGGCGGCGGTTTCTATATTTTAAATATATTGATATAATCGTATAATAGCTCGGCGATGGGTATGAGGGTATAACTAATATTTCATGTGATGCGATTCTATTCTTAAATATTCAAATAAAGTGTTATCGTTTTCAAAGCCATTGCCAGCTGTGCGTGCCACTGTTTGTTTGCTTGTTTGTGTGTGTTGTACCTACGTGTACGTGGATGTACTGTCACATTACCCATTTATATAATGTCGCTATTATTACTTACAACCAAATTCGTTGGAATGGGCCAATAGTGTTAATTTATCATAAATAAATGCCTAGCTCCCCGCACTCTGCATGACCACTTCACCGTCACTAAGTCCAGATTACAATGCCAAACTATTGAATATTCTATCGATTTCCACTCACTGCTTTGACGTATTAGTGCCTGCGTAATTAGTTACGTGTTGTGTATCCTGTTGTTGCTATTATTGTCTGGCATGTATTTACTTAACCGCGCATTTCGTTATTGTTTTTGTTTATGAGGCAAATTAAAGGATTAATTTAGTTTGGCAAATTAGCACTTACTTGTTTGGGTGGAATTCGACGTCGGGGAGTCATATGCATGAGCACAACCCTGTAGTAAGATGGATTGGTTGTAAGCTACTTTACGGCTAGTATGAATCTCAGGACAAACTAGTTCTACGACTGTCTGCTTTCCAAATTCAGTCAATTATGAACTAAATTCAAACTTTTTTTCTAGATGATAACTAAATTTTTGAATCGAAAATAAAAATTAGTACGAAGAGGACCAAATTCATGCCGTTTATGGCAATACAAAAATATCCTATATTAAAGAGATATTCAAGGATGATGATCTGACGTCCACAGCTTCCTTTAAGAAGAGCTAAAGCTTGAACCTGCAGGCAAAGCATTACAAAATATAGTTTGCCACAACTTGGGCTTCGGCCGATAAGTTCAATGTACGTCTTTGCATGAGTCCGTTCATACGAAGCATTTTTAATACGAAGCAAAGCAAAGCGAATCTATATACAAATCTCAAAGAATGAACTGTCACGAAAAGCGAGGAAGATTGCATATAAATCAGCTATTAAATATACGCCATCTGGGCTTAAGAAAATCGCTGATTCTGAACGCTTTCCTTTAGACTGGATCAGCCATTTATTAGTGAAGTAGCCAACATTTTATTTATTTTCAAATTATTTCATTATTCTACAGGGATACTATTGTATTTCTATTGTCACTCATTATTTCTCACAATGCATTATGAGCTGACCATCAGAGCAGGGTTCAGATTAAAATTTAGATTTTAATTTTAATTTAATTCAAATGTTAATTAAATAATTTTTTAATGCATTATTTGCAACTATGCATCGGAGTGATTTCAACCAGCCAACTCGAAATTAGATACAACCCTTTCTTTACTCCAGTGAATTTATGTCTTTGTATGTACTTGAATCTTATGGCGAGTTCATAAATCAATATCAAACCTCAGTAACACCAATTTGTCGTTAGTTTTGCATATATTCAATAATGAAAGGTAATTCCTAATTTTTGAAAGCAAAAGATGCAGGTTCATTAGGTGTATCCCACCGGCTAAGTACCCTCCACATAGCTACTGACGGATCGGGAACACTGAAATATTTCTCTAGAATGTTCGTGAATCTTGAATGAAAAAGGGTACTGGCTAAGAAATTCAATATGTGTGTGTATAATTTCAAACCGCGAATTTGTTTTTATATAATTTTCTTAAGTATTGGGTCAAATAGAGTGGTAATTGGGAAAACACTCCTCTGAGGAATTGAATAATCATGCCCTGAAGTAAGAAACAGAAATTTACTTATGAATGACTCTATTTGTAGTTTTTACTTGTATTTCCACATTTACTATCAATATTTTGCCCCCACATACTTGCAATATATATTATTTTTCTGTAATTAAAAGTTGCAAATAATCCAGAATCATACGAATCATAAGGGAATACATTGAGCCCTGAGCTTACACTGAGAGCGGATTGACTGGTGAACGCCTTCTAGTTGGCATCCTCATGGAAGCTCAAAATGTGAAACAGGTGATGACATTCTCACGGAATCAACTCAGGCGCGGAATGGCCAAGCGAAGCGCGAGCCATCAAACGGAAACGACATTGACCAGAGCAAACAGCAACACGCGAAAAGTAACCGGACTAACGACAACGTTGCCGGCGAATACGAAGAAGAGCTCGCTCACATGTGAAATGGAAAAATATAATCCAAATAAGGAAAACAGCAACAGCGATTGGACGGGGCAAACATCACCCACACCAAAGGGAGACGACCCCAACAAACCTCCACGATAATGACATACAGTTTTAAAAAGGAAATCCAGGAGTGTAACTTTGTACGACACATACGCATTTATATATTAGCCACTATTGGAAGTATATATATATATTCATTATATATATATAGTATATATGTCACATAAAATAATTAACTTCAAAGGTCAGTTTTAAGTAAGAGCAATTCAATTAGAAAATTTATCCTTCTTGAACGACCTTTTATAAACAATTTTTTTAAGCCGACAAAGGCTTATTTGACTGTACTTATATAATTTGATTTGTTTGTAATATATTTACCATGCTCTTTGTAAAGCTTTAAAAATTCAATAAATATTTAAGAGCCAGTAATCAGTTCGATTCTCTTATATATAAATGCACCTATGGATGTATGTATGGATCTGTGAATATACTCGTACTACTATAAAATCAAATTTTTAATAAAAAACGTCTGCTGTCTGTATGTGTATGTGCTGAAGATATAAGCAAAAGGACTAACTGGTCTTCCAACTAGAAAAGCAAACTTACACAAAGCAACAGATGAACTGTAGCTGTAAATAGTCTACTGTCGAATTAATTGTGAACTAATGGTTGGATTTATTAAAGATTTGCACTGGGCTTAGTTAAATTTCTCATTTGTACTTTAATGCTTTTTGATTTATCTCTTGTAGCTCATCGCTGTCAAAATATCAATTTCTGAACCGACGAAATTTATTTAGACAAGGGGCTTGGTTCCCATTCAGGCCCGGTCCGATTTGAGTACTGATATTTCAATTATTCAGCAAGATATTTTAAGAGAACTTAGAGGGAATGTTAACTAAAATATATGATGAACTAGATCTACATAATGTATGGTTATGACATCGACACCAGAGCTCAATCGTCCCAATAGAAGAACTTTGAAGGTTAGAAGAAGTTCTGTAATGCGTTAGCATGAGTGTATTATATCATGGGGTTAACTCTGTATCTATCAAAGTGGTATACTGTTAACGTTTTTGGCGTGGTTTTATATACCCTTAAAGTATGAATAGGTAGTTTACTAGTTCTACAGCTTGCTACATTTATTATTGAACAGACGGATGTACCTATGTG